CTAAGATTCCTGTCCTCTTGGAGCTTATATTTTCATATCTTCAGCTATAAAGGAAGGGATATGAGGGGAGAACCACCCCCAAAAACCTAGAATTTATTTATAAAAAATTGGCCCTGTCTGGTGTGGATCAGTGGATTGAGCGCCAGCCTGCAAACCAAAGGGTCACTGGTTTAATTCCCACTCAGGGCACATGCCTGGGTTGTGGGCCAGGTCCCCAGTAGGGGGAGAGTGAGAAGCAACCACACATTAATGTTTCTCTTCTCTTTCTCCCTCCCCCTCTGTCTAAAAATAAATAAATAAAATCTTTTAAAAAACTGTATTTATTCTTACTTGTTTACACTTCAGTCACCTTCAAAGTACTCTCCATTTGTTGCAATACACCTATCAAGATTTTTTTTTCCCACTGTTCAAAACAGCTTTTGAACTCATTTTGATACCTTTTAGTGCTCCTGCCATTTTTTGTTTCACGTCTTCCACATTGGCAAAACATTTTCCTTTGAGGACTTTTTTTCATCCAGGGAAACCAAAAAAAAAAAAAATTGCTTTGGGCAATATCAAGTGAGTAGGGAGGGTGGGGCATGGTTTTTTGGTCAAAAACTGCTGAACAGCCAGCGTGGGGTACCATAAGGGCAGATGCACTTGTAAATCACTGATTATGAAATGGGCAAGCACATTAAAAGTCTTTAAAAAATTCACTGAAGCCTAACACAGCCTCTCCTGACAATGCCAGCTGGTGCACTGATACAGATGGGTTCCTAGAACACTCACCTAGTGGGGAAACCTGTACTACAAGGGGCCCACCTCCAGAAGATAATTCTGGTTTTTGGGGGTGGCCCTTATACATATATTATCTTGCTTAACTGGAAGTACAGAGGTAGAGTAGGCTCCATGCCTGGTTGATTCCACAGTTCTTGGTGTTATAAGGGAGTGGCAGAACAGAAACCTTATGGCTCAGAAAGCCTAAAATATTTACTGTCTTGTCTTTTACACAAAACATTTGCTTGACCCTGACCTGAAGGGAATTTCCTCTGATGACTGAAGTGTGTTCTCAGCCTTCTCTAACAGGCACTAGAAGATGGGACATGATGGACAGAGGTTCTGAAAATGGAAAAGTTTCTTTCCCCAAGCTCCCCATAGGCACTGCTGGGGTCTCTGGCTCCAAATAAGGAAGATGGAGGGGAAGATAGCAAAGGAGAGGCCAATGATGAAGGAAAGTTCCTAGGGCCCAGAACACCTGATTTGTGTGCAACACCCCCGCTGGAGAGTTAGTAGAATTCTGTGACACAGAACATTTATTCAACAAATGTGTGGAGATCTATTGTATGCAGGGTACTGAGGGGCAAAGATTGAGTTCTATTCTTGAAGGGCTCACAGCCAACAGTAGTCAGGCTCCCTAATTATATCTTTATTCTATCAAGTCACAATTATAGATGTACTTAATAAATGATAATATTGATACAATATACTTTCATTTATTTATTCAATAAATAACTATTAAATGTTTGCTAGGGGATGCATGCTGGACTAGGCACTGCTAATATAATGGTAAACAAAAGAGACACATTCCCTGCCTTCTTGGAACTTATATTTTAGTGAGAGTTGTTCATTACATCAGCTTTAAGTAGCAACAGTCAATTAAAATTGGTTTAAGCAATAGATAAATATATTATTTTGTGTAACCATTAAGTACAGGGGTAGAATAGGCTCCAGGGCTGGTGGTTTCAATGGCACAAGACATTAAAAAGACTCAAGTCATTTTCATGCCTTAGCTCTGCCTTCCTGGTTGTGCTGGCCTTTTTTCAGGCTGTTCTTTGAAGTTTCAAGGTGGTTGCCACAACTCCAGGTGTCACTTTCAGATATGTACAGAAAAAGAAAGTGATCATCTCTTCATGTAACTTACAATTTTTAAAAATTTTTAAATTATAGTTGATGTATATTATATTAATTTCAGTGTACATCCCAGTGATTAGATAGTACATAACTTAAGTGATCATCCACCCTGCACCACCCCTCCCTCCAGCCTTCCCCTAGTTCATGTCCATGGATTGTATGTATAATTTCTTCAGTTTCTCCATTTCCCATACTATTCTTAACCTCCCCCTGTCTATTTTGTACCTATCATCTATGCTTCTTATTCCCTGTACCTTTTCTGCCATTCTCCTCCCTGCACCCTCCCCACTGATAACCCTCCATGTGATCTCCATTTCTGTATTTGTGTTTCTGTTGTAGTTGTTGCTTAGTTTGTTTTTGTTTTTTTAGGTTCAGTTGTAGATAGTTGTGAGTTTGTGGTCATTTTATTATTCATGATTTTGATCATCTTCTTTTTCTTAAATAAGTCCCTTTAACATTTTATATAATAAGGGCTGGGTGATGATGAACTCCTTTAACTTGACCTTATCTGGGAATCACTTTATCTGCCCTTCCATTCTAAGTGATAGCTTTGCTGGATAGAGTAATCTTGGATGTAGGTTCTTGCCTTTGATGACTTGGAATACTTCTTTCCAGCCCCTTCTTGCCTGTAAGGTTTCTTTGGAGAAGTCAGCTGACAGTCTGATAGAACTCCTTTGTAGGTAACTGTCTCCTTTTCTTGTGCTTCTTTCAAGATTCTCTCCTTAATTTTAATCTTGGCTAATGTCATTATGATGTGCCTTGGTGTGTGCTTCCTTGGGTCCAACTTCTTTGGGACTCTCTGAGCTTCCTGGACTTCCTGGAAGTCTGTTTTTTGTTTGTTTTTTTTTTTTTTTTTTGGAAGATTGGGGAAGTTCTCCATTATTTTTTCAGATAAGTTTTCAGTTTCTTGCTCTTCCTCTTCTTCTTCTGGCAACCCTATGATTCAAATGTTGGAACATTTAAAGTTGTCCCAGAGGTTCCTAAGCCTCTCCTCATTTTTTTGACTTCTTGTTTCTTTATTCTGTTCTAGTTGAATGTTTATTTCTTCCCTATGCTCCAAATCATTGATCTGAGTCCATGTTTTCTTCCAGTCACTGTTGGTTGCCTATACATTTTCCTTTTTTTCACTTTGCATAGCCTTCACTTTTTTCTCTATTTTGTGACCATACTCAATCATTTCTGTGAACATCCTGATTACCAGTGTTTTGAACCCTGCATCTGATAGGTTGGCTATCTCTTCATCACTTAGTTGTATTTTTTCTGGACCTTTGATCTGTTCTTTCATTTGGGCCATATTTTTTTTGTTGTTGTTTCAGTGGGCATGTTACATAGTAAAGGGAAGAGTCTTAGGTATTCACCAGGGCAGGGCATCTCACTTGGCTGCATAGTGTCACTGTGTGTGTGGGAGGGGTCCGAGAAGGAACAGTGCTGCTTTGTTGGCTCTTGTCCGGCTTTCAGTCACTTTCTCTGCTATCCACAAGCAAATTGGGCTCTTCTGGTGCTGATTCCTGGGTGGGTGGGCCTGTGTACATTCTAGGACCCTGTGGATCTCTCCAGAGGACTCTCCAATGAGGCTGGGAGTTTCTCCTGACACTCCAACCTCCATAGATTTTTACAGCCAGAGGTTTTGAGTCTTTGTTTTCCTGTGCTGGGACCCTGGCTGTGTGGACTGTCTCATTCCCCAGTTGTTCCTCCTGGCTTATCTGCATGCAAATGTGGGACGGCCCAGTCCTACAGCTGCTGCCTTTCCACGAGTCCTGTCCTCCTGGCTGCCTATCTCTGCCCCTCCTACCAGTCTAGATGAATGTTTATATAACTCCTTGGTTGTCCAACTTCCACACAGTTTGATTTTCTGGCAGTTCTGGTTATTTTTTTGTTTTTAAATTTGTTGTCCAACTTTTGGTTGTGCGAGGAGGCAAAATGTATCTACTATGCCTTTATCTTGGCTGGAAGTCTGTTTTGCAGTTTTCATAGTGTCAATTTTACACTTTTTTTGTTAAATTTATTCCTGTGTATTTAACTCTTTTTGATGCTATTGTAGATGGAATTGTCTTCTTAATTTCATTTTTTGATTATTCACTGTAAATGTTTAAAAATACAATAAATACAATTGAATTTTGTATATTGACCTTGTATTCTGCAATGTTGCTGAACTTCTTCATTAGTTCTAATTTATTTTTTTTTATTGGATCCCTTAGGATTTTCTTTTTAAAAAGATTTTTATTTACTTACTTTTAGAGAGAGGGGAAGGGAGGGAGGAAAAGGGAAAAAAAACATCAATGTGTGGTTGCCTTTCGTGTGCCCCCAACTGGAGACTTGGTCTATAAACCTAGGCATGTGCCCTGACCAGGAATCAAACTAGCAGTCCTCCGGTTCACAGGCCAGCACTCAATCCATTGAGCCATACCAGCCAGGGCAGGATTTTCTATATAAAAGATCATGTCACAAATAGGTAGTTTTATTTCTTAGTTTCACATCTGGATACCTTTTATTTCTTTTTCTTGCCTAATTGCTTTGACTGGAAGCTCAAGAACATGTAATTCATTTAATCCTCACAGCAATCGCTGAGAGGCACAAGTAATCTTATTTTACAAATGGGGACATTAAAGCCTAAATACATAACTTGCTTAAAGTTTTACAGTAAATAAGTGGGAGAGCTGGGGGAAGCTGGAAAGGACTACAAAAGTTATCAGTAAGTACAAAACAACTGGTTGACAATTAGAACTGAGTTATTGCATAGCAGAAAAAACAAACCAAAACACGATTTGGGTCCGGACTGGGATTCGGGCTCCAATACCTAAGTGCTGCGTAAAGATTTGGAGCTGGTCACTCTGGGCAATTTCCTCGCCTACAAAATGGAGATAATAATGCCCACCTTTAAAAATTTTTGTAAGGTTCGAGTAAAGTGATAATTGTAAAGCGCACTGTGAGAAACAGGTCCCATCGGCATTAGACCAGGAAATTTGGAAACAGTACCATTAACTCCAATGGGTAAAAAACTCCAGGGGGCCTTCCCGGAAATCCGCGCAGGGCCCTCTGGGACGTGCAGTCTTGCCCTGGCTCCAGTCCGCCTTTCTCCTTTAATTGGGGCGGCAGGGTATAAGCCCCGGAAGTACTTGTGGCCCGGGAGGCGCGCTGGTTGGGCAGGGGAGTCAGAGGTCGGGGCTAGGAGGCGTTCCGCTGGCATAGATGCTTTGTAGCGGTGTGGCTTGCGCTCTCCTTCATGTTCTGGAGGGTTTTGGGGCTCCCATAGTGTAGTAGTCCCAGGACCTCTAGTCCCCGGCTTCCGTACCTGCCGGCTGAGCGGAATCGACGCCGCCGCCATGTTTGGCTGCTTGGTGGCGGGGAGGCTGGTGAGGATGGGGCCGGGTGATATCAGACTGGGGGCTGGACACCGAGGGCGAGGCTCTGGGAAGGGGAGGGTGCTCGAGATCCAGTGGTGCGGGGAAAACCCCCTCAGGTCTACTTTCCAGCTTAGAGTGTGGAGTGGTGAATGGGCGCTGGGTGTTCATTCTGCTTTGCCCACCCCCCCCCCTTGGTCATTTGAGTAATCACACATTAGCTGCCATTTATCGAGTGGGGAATGCTCGCCTTTTGTCCAGTCATTTTAGCTTTCTATCTAGTGCTTATTTGGTAACCCAGATTCAACCCTCACTATTTGTGAGGTGGTTATTATTCGATCCATTTTGCAGTGAGGAATTGAAGCCCAGTCGGCAGTATAAGCCCTCGCCTAAGCTCAGTGAATTAGACGTAAATTTGGACTTTTAATCGAGGCTGTAGCGTCCTAGTTACCAGAGATTAAGGTGTTGGGCAGTGTTTATCTGCTGGGTCTTTTTGGAAGGTGCCTAGTAAAAATATGCTTAAAGGTAATTGGAAGTTGGCCGATAGAAATGCCTGAAATTTAAGTGTGAGCCAAAATCTGAGATGACTCGGAACGATGTGAGCAGCGAGTTTCCTTATTGGTCAGAAGAGAGAAACTCACTTGCTGGAGTATTAGAATTAAGTAAAACCAGCACCGGGAATTGTTCAGGAATAATCCGGAAGGTGTATGGTATTTGGCTTGAATCACCTAAAGATTCATTTAGACCTGACTCCTTCCACCTGGAGTTCTTTTTCTTATTCTTGTCATTCAGCTTTGTTAAATGTTGCAGCTCCTTTGTTGAATGTTAAGATTTTCATAAGTTTTTGATAATGTATTCTGTATATGGTTATAAGGAATCACAGAGATACGTTGGAGATGACTGGCCTCGGAAAGTTTTTTTGTCTCTTCAGTGATTGGGCGGCTACTTTTGGTGATGGTGATAATTGGTACCGTATTTTGCTGTGTATAATGTGCACTTTCGGGGGGGGGGGGAGCCAAACTTTTCAGGGAAAATAAGGATGCATGTTATACGTGGGTAGTACTAATTCTGTATCTATATAAATGTTTTTAATTCTTTTATTTATGCTTATGGGTTAAAAGTGTAACTCTAGGAAGCAATAACAATATCCTTATGTAAAATAATAGCCTGGAATACCACAGTCGGTTTTGTTTCTTAATATAAATAAATAATTGAATTAAAAAATTAAAACGAAAGGGTTTTTTTCCTGAAAGTTTGGGCCAAAAAGGTGGGTGCATACTATACATGGGAGCACATCATTCACTGCAAAATATGGTAGTACTAGTGCGACAACTTTGTATTGTCCTTGATTTAACAACAAAAAAAGGACCAGCCAGAGATGACTTACTTTTGTCATTCTGCTTTGTTATCATTAGTGTTATTAGTGAGTGACTTTTAAAAGATGTGTATTTTCTTAAAAAGGATAAAAAGGCCATATGGAATCCATGTATCTTTCATATTGTCAACTAATTTGGAAGTTTTGTTATAGCAATACCTGTTTATTTACCTAGTATTTTTGTAATGAATATCCAGTAGAAGTTATTTTAAGGTTTTTGGGGGATTGTAAACTATAATTCTGGAGTATTAGAACATGTTAAAATGAAGGGCAAATAGATCCAGCAATACCTCAAGACTTAGTTATGTTATTCTCCTATTACAAAAATTCACTTATCTGCATTTTCCTTCCTCGAAAAAAAATTTAAGTAAAAGAGATACCCTTTTTCTATTTTTTTTTTTTTAAGTTTGCCCTGCCCTATACATAGTAGTTAAAGGGAGGGGCCTAAGTTTCTCCTTTTCATTTATTTATTTGTTTTTAGAGAGAGGGGAAGGGAGGAAGAACATCTATTGGCTGCTTCTTGCATGTACTCCAACCAGGGACTGAGCTCACAACCCAGGCATGTGCCCTAACTGGGAATTGAACCGGCAACTTTTCAGTTCATAGGCCAGTGCTCAATCCACTGAGCCACACCAGCCAGGGCTTTTTAACAAAAAAATTTTTAAAAATTGATTTTAGGGGGAAAGGAACATCAATTTGTTTTTTCACTTATTTATGTGTTCATTGATTGCTTCTTATATGTACTCTGACCAGGGATTGAACCCACAACCTTGATATACGGGGATAGTGCTCTAACCAACTGAATTATTGGGCTATGGCAAGAGATACGTACCACCTGTTTTCTTAAGGTCAATGATTAGAGTGTTGTAATCCACATTTACAGAATGTCTGGTTCCTTATACAGAGCTGACATTTAAGAAATATTTGCTTTGCCAAATTATTTTAGGACTTGTATCATAATTTCAAATGCCTTTTAATATGTGCATGTCAAAGTCTGGTGAAATTGAATTTAATACTGATACAGGCAGTTTGGTTTATATTTATGTTCCTTCTATGTTTCTCTGTATTTAAACCAGAGTTTTTAATTGTGTTGAAAACTTCAGAACAGGGAACCAGAGCTTGACTTTAAGAATGCTCATCCTTGGTCTCTTGGGAATAAATTTAGTGTAATTGATATTTCTTTATCATTGATACATATATGCAGTTACATAGCAGTATATTGGTGACCAGAAAGGCAATAGTATTTAAAAAACAATAAAAACCTCAGGGAAGGTAAACTCTTCACAGCCTATTGACCATAGTGCACTCAAATTGATACTTCTTTTTGCTGGGTGTTTATAGGAATTAGCAATAAATTTCTTAAAATTTTTGTAAAAATGAATTAGTGAAAGATTTCTTAGACTTCAAAATAAGATCTCATTTTATAAATTGAGGTTCAATTCTAGGACAGAAAAATAGATTAGCAAATGAGTCGAGGAAACTTTTAAAATACCCAGTTAGCACATTCAAGGTAGAACTTTTAGATTTTATATAGTTTGTTTTTGTTATTTGGAATAGTTTTGCTGTATAAAGTTTGTGTGAGCGCTAAATGGGTAAATACTGAATTATTGCCCCTAGGGGAAATACAGGGCTAGGGTCCTGCAAGCATCTGGTCTCAATTTTATCAGTTTTGTTTTATGTGTGTTTCTGTTTAAAGACATCTTATTTAATATGTATTATTGATTTGTTAACATTGGACTCTGCCAGTAGCACTATAACTCATATCTGAATGAAAGTTATGTAACACATATTTTCTCAGTAAGGCACCTGCCAGCCTTGTTGGGTTTAGGAGCACTATTTCAGCCTGGCCATTTAAAACAGTCAAATCACCAACAAAAATGCAAACAAACATGGCACTAAATAGACTGTGAAAAGGACATTTGTTTACAGTATGAAAGCTGAAACCAGAAGGCACAATATAGCTTTGTTCCACAGCTGGGAACATGTCCATCAGGCAACTCAAACTTTTTGCAGCTTTAAAAGTGCAACAAGTAATGGTTTGGGGGTTATAAATATATCTTAGTGAGTAGACAAATTAGCAAGTATGGAATCTGCAAATAATGAGGATTGAGTAAATACCTCTGGGTTGCTTACCTATTTTAATTACCTGAGGTTCTTTACCTTCAAATTAGAGGATCATGGTTTGGTAGTATATTTTGAACAAACTTTCGTTAAAAAAATTTTACTATTTTTAAAAATCCTCACCTGAGGATATATTTCTTGATTTTAGAGTGAGAGGAGGGAGAGGGAGAGAACATCAGTTGGTTGTCTCCTATAGGCCCCGAGCACCCCAACAGACCAGGGGTTGAATTGCAACCTAGTTATATTCCCTGACCAGAAATCAGTGGAACCTCAACCTTTTGGTGTATGGGATGATACTCCAGCCAGCTGAGCCACCCGGCCAGGGTGAACAGTCTTTCATGTTTATAACATTCTGAAGCTGTAGTGATTTACTGAGTAGAATCCTTCCAGGAGACTTCTGAAATAATTTAGTTACATTTTTAAAAGATTACATTAATGAAGTTATTTTAATGCAAAGTATTTTTTGATTCCTTATTTTTAAAAATATTTCTAAGTTTTCAATTACAGTTGACATACAATATTATATTAGTTTTAGATGTACAACATAGTGACACCATATATAGTTATTATAATATTATAGACTGTGTTCCCTTTGCTGTACTTTATATCCCGTGTTTTAATAGGATTCACTATTAATATTAGCATTCTATCTGATATATTTGGTAATTCTATAATTACAGTCTCAGATTAACCCCAAGTTTTACTTGGTATATGACTATAATTGACTGTGCTTGGTAACAGCTTATAGCAGTACTATAAAGGTTATAAAAGCTCATCAAACTATTGCACTGAGACAAGTTTCTTATTTTCTAGGTGCAAACAGTTGCACAGCAAGTGGCAGAAGATAAATTTGTTTTTGACTTGCCTGATTATGAAAATATCAACCATGTTGTGGTTTTTATGCTGGGAACAATCCCATTTCCTGAGGGAATGGGAGGATCTGTCTACTTTTCCTATCCTGATTCAAATGGAATGCCAGTATGGCAGCTCCTAGGATTTCTCACGAATGGGAAACCAAGTGCCATCTTCAAAATTTCAGGTCTTAAATCTGGTAAGAATAATGTATTGAAATAGTTTCATAATTAAACTGTTTACTTAAACAGCATACTATAGAATATGACTTTTTAAAAACTTCATTATATTTTTTCAGGTTGCTAAAGTAATATATAACATTTTTAAAAAGGTGATCCTGAAACATTTGAAAAATAGTAAGTGAAAGGCCTTAGCTCCTCATACTCCCATTCTCTGTCCCTGGAGAGAATCACTCACTGTTCTTCTCTTTGTGTGGTATATATGGTTGTGAAGGAATTTTTCTGAATTAATGGGTATTTTAATAAAGAGGGGAATCTTGGCATAATTTGTAACATGCACATCTGTGTTTTAACTAAACAGATAAACCAAATAGACTCATACAGGAAATAAAATGAGAGTCTTTTTTTTATCTATGAGGATGTTTGAAAGCTTAGATTTGATTACCCCTTCAGCGTTCTTCTGCTGGTTGTATTGCTGTTGCATATTTTAAATCTTAGAGGGACACAATCCTTGCTTTGATGCTTTTGAGTTATTTTGTGAAGAAGTGTGAAAGTAAAACGAGGTACCATTTACTCCCACTGAATCTCTTGTTCCTTTGACAATCTAGATGAAAACAGACAGAGATTCTTAAGAATATAAATATACATTCTCCTAGAGATTGTCTATAGAGTCCAAGGAAAAAATATATTTAGGTAACATTTGCTTAACAAACATATGGGTATCTGTTGTGGGGATTTAAAGATACTAAGTTCTTGCCTGAGATAACTCATGTTCTTACAAAGGACGATTGCTCTGTAGACCAGTAATTAGAAGAGTGTAAAGTACTAACAGACATTTGTGCAAAGTGCTGAGAGAATAGGAAAGAGAACAATTAACTCTTAAGTGTGTTAGGAAAGGCTTTCTGGAGGAGGTGATATTGGACCTCTTCAAACATAAGTAGGAGTTTGTAAGGCCTGTTGGGCATTTTTTTCTAGGTGGAGGAAATACGGATATAATGTTGTAAGTTTGAAAGCATGGGTGTGCTCAGAAATGTCACAGGCAGGGCGTATAAAGGGAGGAAATAGGCAGGCGTGGATCATGAAAAGCTTTATGTGTCATACTGACTCATTAGAATTTAATAAGTCAGCAATTTTTAACATGTCTAGGTCACAGGCTTATTTGATAGTATTATAAAATGTATGTGTAACATGATAGACACACTAAAAATTGTGCAAGTACTCTGAAGCCCATCCTTGTAGCTCTCCCTGTAAAGAAGTGCTCTTTTAGGTATAGAGGAGGCAATAAACAATTTTGGGTAGGAGAGTGATATGATCAAATTCTCTTTTTAGTCTGAGGACCGTGTGGAGAATGAATTGGAGCAGTTCTGGCCAGATAATGGATTGTTAGCTGCTGTTATTTTATGTAGTTGAAATTGTACAGGAAGAAATGGGAGAGGGCAATATTTAAAGCTAAAAATTGTTTAGGATTGGTCATGAATACTAAACTCTAGATTTCAGATGCAGGACAAGTGCCTACAGTCCTTCTCAATGACTGCTCCCTGAGATTAGTATTCTTAATCCCTAAGAAAGTTGTTGTTGAATCCTGATTGCCTAAACAGCAGCATCAACACAAGCAGTGCCTGGAAGCTTATGAAAAATGTATACTCCTGGTAGGACCCCAGATATACTGAATCAGAAACTGTGAAGTCCAGTTGTCTGTATTTAAATAAGTTCCATAGGTGTTTGTGTTGCATGCTAACATTTGAGAACCACTGCCCTAGGGCATCCACTGTATATAATGAATTAATGCCTCTTTATGTATAGTATATGTAATACTATACATATTGCATAGTATTAGTTCTGAACAAACTTTAGGGAAATTAACAAAATAGTCTCAAATCACTTTTTTCCTTCTCTGTGACTATGCCTAGAAATACTACATAGAAAAAAGAAAATAATACTAAGTAGAAAAAACAGACAATTCAATACATTCTTGTGAAATTACTGGATGTTACACGTGAAGAGAGAGTAATAAAGGAACCACAGAGAGAAGACAAGTACTTTATAACTGAACAGCAATTAGTTTAGCAGATATATCAAGAGCATGAATAGAGACAAAAAAAACAATAGATTACTATTCTCAAAGTGCAAAGGAAAAATAATTCTGAAAACTCTCATTTTAAGGATTTTATTTACTTTTAGAGAGAGGGGAACAAAGGGAGAGAAACATTGATGTGCAAGAGATAAATCTATCAGTTGCCTCTCTCATGCCCCCAAGTGGGGATCTGACCTGCATGTGCCCTGACTGGGAATCCACTGGCAACCTTTCGGTTCACTGGTGGGCACTCAATCCACTGAGCCATACCAGCCACAGCAAGAAAACTGTCATTTTTTTTTTAAGAAGATATGTTCTTTAAAGATTTTATTTATTTATTTTTAGAGAGGGAAGGGGGGGAGAGAGAGAGAGAGGGAGAGAGAGGGAGAGAGAGGGAGAGAGGGAGAGAAAGAGAGAGAAACATCAATGTGCGGTTGCTGGGGGTTCTGGCCTGCAACCCAGGAATGTACCCTGGCTGGGAATCGAACCTGGGACACTTTGGTTCCCAGCCCACACTCAATCCACTGAGCTACGCCAGCCAGGGCTAGAAAACTGTCATTTTTTAAATAAAGGAGAAATAAATGTATTTTCAAGTGGAAGTAAAGAGTTTACTACTCATCAATCATTACTGAAAGAATTACTGAAGGTATTTGTACTTATAGGAGGAAATTGAACCCAGAATGTAGAAGAGGATGCAAGACACAATGATAGCAAAGAAATTGGTAAACATGTAGACAGATCTGGACAACCTGATTTTATAAAACAATAAAAATAAATGCACAGAATTAAAACTGTACTAGAAAACAGCACATATGACAGAAGGGGTAGTGATCTGAGTTAAAGCTTTCTGAGGTGCTTTCGTTTAGAAAGAGCAATAATATTGTAGTTCCGTTAAAATTTTAAGGAGAACTAAAAAAAGGGGGAAATAGCATAATAGTAAAACCAAAATAAGGTGATGGAAATAATTTCAACTATGTCAGTTATCAAAATAAATGCAAAGAGACTAAATTTACCAGAGAAAAGATGGAGACCATAGGGTGGGATGATTTTTTTTTTAAGGCAGCAAGCAAATAATTACAGTGGTACCTTGGTACTTGTCGTTAATTTGTTCTGGACCTCGTGATGAGTGCCTAAACCAATGAGTACTGAACAAGCAGAGAATGATGAAGCTTTCTGTTGTTGGTGGGGGGCAGGCAGCATTGTGGCATTGTGAGACATACAAGCCCAAGCAAGGGCGATCAGTCCTGAGTAGAGTCCCAAGCAAGCACCATGTGCTGAAACATTTTTTTCTCATCAAAATGTTTAAGTAGCCATGGCTGGTGTGGCTCCATGGATTGAGCACTGGCCTGAAAACCAAAGAGTTGCCAGTTTAATTCCCAGTCAGGGCACATGCCTGGTTTGCAGACCAACTCCCTGGTGAGGGGCGTGGGAGAGGCAACCACAAATGGATGGTTCTCTCCCTCTCTTTCTCCCTCCCTTCTCCTTTGTCTAAAAGTAAATAAATAGAATGTTTAAAAGAGTACACAGATACAGGGTTTCATGAGTTCTGAAGCTGATGAGTATGATGAATACTGAGATGACTGTATATTGGTCTTACGAGTAATGGGTCTAAAACATTGTAGCATAAGGAACCAAAAAATCTGTGTGTATATAGACTTACATATATTAGTCTAAAGAAAACTTAGAATAAGGCAAAAAGCATTATAAAGAATTAAGAGATTTATTCACTAGGATTAAGAATTCACTAGGAAGATTTAAATATTTCTGGGAAAAGGTGAATGTCATGAGTTTGTGTATATATAACATAACTTCAAATATATAAAGGAAAAATATTGACATAATGATAAATGGACAGCCCTAATGTTAATATTTTTTTTAAATTTGCACATTAGGTGTATGTTTAAAGCACCCACTTTTTTTTTTTTTTTAAGAGTTATTTATGTGTTTTTAGAGAGGGAAGGGAGGGAGAAAGAGAAAGAGAGGAACATCAATGTGCGGTTGCTGGGGGCCATGGCCTGCAACCCAGGCATGTGCCCTGGCTGGGAATCGAACCTGCGATGCTTTGGTTCGCAGCCCATGCTCAATCCACTGAGCTACGCCAGCCAGGGCTAATGTTAATATTTTAATAAAACCTTTGATAATATATCAAGTAAATCAGTAATAAAGAAGGAAGGTTTGAATAAAAGAATTAACAGGCTTGAGCTAATGGACATTTATGAAACCCTGCAACTGATAGGTCATGCATGCATTATGGGGCAAAGGGGTTTACAGTTGTTTGTATGTAAAGTAATACAATAATTAATAAATAATATAAGAATAAACACTTTCACGTATTCAAAACTGTAAATGTGCTTTTGCCCCACTCCAACTACATGGTTTTAAAAGATTTTATTTATTTTTAGTGAGAGAGTGGAAGGGAAGGAGAAAGAGAGAGAGAAATATCAATCAGTTGCCCCTCACACACCCTCAACTGGGGACCTGGCCAGCAACCCAGGCATGTGCCCTGACTGGGAATCCAACCAGTGACCTTTGGTTTGCTGGCCAGCACTCAGCCCACTGAGCCACACCAGCCAGGACTGTATACATTTTTAATACACAGATTTATGAAATTTCACCACGTACCAACCAAGTCACAAAGTAAGCTGTAGCGAATACCAGACAGTCATACAATGCACAATGCGATGTAATTACAAATCAAAAGATAAAACATTGTCATGTTTAGAAATTTAAAAATATTTACAAATAATTCATGGGTCATAGAAAAAATGATTGTAGAAAATAAACTTGTATAGAACAAAGAAAAAACAAAGAGAAAACCCCATCACAATTCAAACCTTTTGAATGGTTAAGGTTAAGGTAATACTAAAGAGATTGATTCATAGGCTTAACTATATATGTAAATATGTAAAAGAGATTGAAATGAGTGAGCTAAGTATTTAACTTAAG